TCAAATGTGCTTAAAACTTAAGACATCAGTGTTAAGCTACGACAAATACAAAAACCAGGGAATATGGCACAATTAAAAGAAAAACCTTCAGTAACAAAAATAAAGATCTATAAATTATCTGATAAAGTTTTTAAAATATTAGTTTTAATAAAGCTTAATATGTTACCAAATAATATAGATACATATTAAATAAAATATGATACGTGAACAAAATGAGAGTATTAGCTAAGAGATATGCATTATTAAAAAGAACAATGCAAATTCTTGATTTGAAAAAGACAAAAATGCACTGAAAATTCATGAGAAACTTCTAAAACAGGCTTAATGTTCAGAAGAAAAAAAATCAAACTTAAAGATATCATTGGAAAGTATCCAACCAGAGGCAAATAAATAAATAAAGAATTAAAGAGAACAAAATATATGGGACATATAGTACAGTCAAAATATGTACATTATAGAGGCACCAGAAAAAGAAAATTGGCAGAAAGATTCTATAAGAAAATAATGACTGAAACAGCCCACGTCAGTAGAGAAAAATGGACATTCAGACTCATGGAGCCCAAAAGAATTTAAAGAGAATGGACTTAAATAAGGCTATGCAGGAATATATTAAAAATTAATTGTGAAGTCATACAAAGAGAATGTTTAAAGCATCAAGAAAAAGTGATTCATCATTTGCTAGGGAGCCCCTATAAGCTGCAGAGTAGGTGGAAACTACACTCACCTGCTCCCAGCCCCAAATCAAATTTACAGCTAAATTAAATTATAGAGCAATCAACCTGAATAACCAATTGAAGCCTAGCTGCACTGAAATATTATAACCAAGGATTTACAGAAGAAGCCACATGGAGGCTGTTAGAAAGGGTGGAGATGCAGAAAGGGCTGCCCCCTGTACCCAGGTGCAGTAGCTGAGAAGCTGGAGGGATATCTCAGCTGCAAAACTCCTTCCCCCGAAGGAGCATGTGGTCTCAATCCCACCAGGAATCCCCAGCCCAGAGCAACAGAGATGGGAAGAGGAGCAGGCATAGCATCTGGTGATGAAAATCAGTGGGGATTTAGTCCTCCTGGGAGAGAAGGGAGTCTGCTGGAGACCCAGACACCACCTCCTCAGTTGCTGGCATAGGTAGTTAGCTAGTCATTAGTAAAGAGGGAGAGGGGCACAAGGGGAATCAGGCCCTGAGTTTACTAAACTAAGGAGCTGAATAGAATATATAATAAACTGGGAAGCTGAATCAGATGTTAGGACAGCATTCCATGAAGCTTGATTTGTAGGAAGCTATAGCATTTACATACCCATTCACACACTCCAGGGGACCACAGCTGAAGAGTCTTGATCCTACAAGCAGGCAGGAAAGCCTCCCAGGGGTGCTGGCAGCTGCATACTGTATTATCGGAGGGAGGAGGAGGAGAATTTCCTCCACTGAGCACATGCACAGTAGAAACCAGTGACGTGACAGAAAGTTTGGACATGCACAGTAGAAGTCAAGATGGGCAAGAGGAGGTGCTTCTACATTCAGGCATGTGCAGTAGAAGCAAAAATGGTGACACGAAAGGGTAGACTCTAACTTTACATATTAAGGAACTAGAAAACCAAGAATACATTAAAGCCAAAGTTAGCAGAAGAAATCAAATAATAAAGATCAGGGTGGATTTAAATGAAAAAGAGACCAGAAAAACAATAGAGAGTGTCAATGAAACTAAGCTGGGTAGCCAAAAAGATAAACAGAAGTGACAGGCCTTTAGCAAGACAAACTAAGAAAAAAGGGAAAGACAAATAAAATTGGAAATGAAAGAGGAGAAATTACAACTGACACTACAGAAATTCATGGTATGGAGAAATTACAACTGACACTACAGAAATTCATGGTATCATAAGAGACTACTATGAACATTTGTACACCAATAAATTAGATTACGTGGAAGAAATAGATAAGTTCCTAGAGTTATCCACCCTACTGAGACTGACCCATAAAGAAATAGAAAGTCTAAGCAAACCAATAATGAATAAGGAAATCAAATCACTAATCAAAACCACCCAAAAAAGAAACCTCCAGAAATAGGTGGCTTCACTGGTGAACAAACATTAAAAGAAAAAGTAATGCCACTTTTTCTCAACTCTTCCAAAATCTTGAAGAAAAGGAGACACTTTCAAAATCTCTTTACAAGGGAGCATTACCCTGGTACCAAAACCAGATAAGGACACTACAAGCAAAGAAAACTGTAGACTAATAAACATAGATGCAAAGATTCTCAACAAAATATTAGAAAACCAAATTGTTGGACTCACTGAAACATTTATACCATGACTACCATATTTTTTGAACTATAAGACACAGTATCTTATGGTCTAAAAAATATGATAAGTGAAATTTATCCCTGGGATGTAATAATGGTTCAACTGATGAATATTAATAAATATATACTACATTATCAATAAATATGCATCACATTAATATAAGAATAATAAAAAGCATGTAACCATCTCAATAGATGCGGGAAAAGGTTTTGAAAAAATACAATGCACTTTATTGATTAAAAAAGAAAAGTTCACCAGATTGGGTATAGAAGGAATATACACCAATATAATAAAGGCCATATATAACAAACCCACAGCTAATATTACACTCAATGGCAAAAAAATAGAAAGCTTTTTCTCTAAGATCAGAAACAAGATTAGAGTGCTCACTCATGCCACTCTTATTCAATATAGTATTTCACATTCTGTTATAGAGAAACCAGGCAAGGAAAAGAAATAAAAGGCATCCAAATCAGAAAGTAAAAGTAAAGTTGTCCTTATTTTCAGGTGATGGGATCTCATATAAAGAAAAGACCCAAAGACTCACCCCAAAAGCTATTGGATCTAATCAATGAATTCAGTACATTTTCAGGATGTAAAATCAACAGGTGGAAAGCAATTGCTTTCTTATACTTTAAATGTGAAACAACTGAGAGGAAAGTCAATAGTCATAAATGCATATATATATGAGAAAGCTCACAAGCAAGCAACCTAACCCACCCTTGCCGGTGTGGTCCTGTGGATTGAGCACTGGACTGGGAACCAAAGGGTTGCTAGTTCGATTCCCAGTCAGGGTACATGCCTGGGCTGTGAGTCAGGTCCCCAGTGGAGGGTGTATGAGAGGCAACCACACATTGATGTTTCTCTCCCTCTCTTTCTCCCCCTCTCTCCCCTCTAAAAATAAATAATATATATTTTTAAAAACCCTATCACAATAAAAAAAAAACAATTAACTATCTAGGAATAACTTAACCAAGGAAGTGGATGATCTGTACCATGAAATGTATAATTCTTTGATGAAAAAAATCTAACAGGGCACCAAAAAAATAAAAGGACACTATTTTCATGCATTGACAGACATGGTATCGTGAAAATGCTCATGGTCCCGAAAGCCACCTATAGATTGAATAAAGTACCTATGAGAATTCCAATAGAATTTTTCACAGAAATAAAAAAAGAATCCTAAAATTTATATAAAACCACAAAACCCCTGAATAGTCAAAGTAATCATGAGAAAGAAAAACAAAACCAGAAGCCTCACACTGCCTGATTGCAGGCTATACTACAAAAGCAATAGTATTGAAAAGAGTATAATATTGGCATAAAGATGGGCACATAGACCAAAGGAACAGAAGAGAGAACCCAGAATGAAGCCCTCACATACACAGTCAACTATTTGATAAGGCAGCCAAGGACATCATGATGGGGAAAGGAGTCTCTTCAAAAAATGGTGCTGGGAAAGTGGCATTGCCACATGTGAAGAAGGAAACCAGACCCCAGTCTTACACCAGTCACAAAAACTAGCTTGAAATGGATCAAAGTCTTAAATGTAAGGCCCGATATTGTAAAACCCCTAGAAGAGAACATACGGCAGAAACTCCTCAGCATTGGTTCTGGTGATGATTTTTCAATACAACAACAAAAGCATAGATAACCAGAGAAAACAGTCAACCAGTAGGACTACATCAGCCTTGAAAGCTTCTGTGCTGAAAATAAAACCTAAAAAATGAGATATTTGGAAACCATGTATGAAAAGTAGATTAATATCAAAAATTTATAAAGAATTCATACAACCCAATAACAACAATGAAAAGAAGTGGTAGGGCAGAGGAATTAAATGGACACATTTCCCCCAAAATATGCAAATGGTTAACAGGTACATGAAAAGGCACCCAACATGACTAACCATCAGGGAAAAGCAAATCAAAACTCACAATGAGCTATCACTTAACACTTGTAAAAGTTGTTATTATCAAGATTAGAAATAACAAGTGTGAGTGAGGATGTGGAGCAAAGCTAACATTGCCACTTGGTGGGAGTGTAAACTGCTTCAGCCATCATGGTAAACCGTATGGAAGTTCCTAAAAAAAAAAACTTAAAAAGACACACTTTAGTTGAAGAACAATTAACAAAAGGAAGATCATCAGTGGCAGCTGGATGAGTTTGCAGAGTGAGAACCATGGAAAGCAACTACTGCACTCAGTGGCAGGAAATGGGAAGGGGGAGCAATTCGAATGGAGCCAGTGGTGGTGGTGGTCACAAGTGGGGCAGGGCAGCTCTACACACACCAAATGAAAGAGAAGTCAAAGTATTCCTTTAACATTTATTTAATCAAACTAAAGGTAAAGAGTTAAACTAAGTGTTGTAGAGTAGGTAGGCCAGGGATTCTCTCTAAAGTCAAGTGGTCTTTGTTTCCCAGAAATGATGCAGGGTCAGGAAGGGGTGTTGATGTATCTTAAACCAGGAGAAGGAGTTGCCACATGAGCAGCATGAATGAGTTCTGGAGGTACTTGGGGACTTCAAAATACATCTTCTTCCTAGGTGCCGGTAAACAGTCTCAAACATTACAAACCACAGGTCAACAAAACCTCTAACGGAGTTGGTCACCAGATATGGACAAGGCCAGTTGATCCCAAAGAGGGAACTGGCACCTCCAGCAAGCTGGCACCCAGTGGCTTAGCTCTCTGAGCTTTTGCAAGGACTCTCACTCTGGGCCACACCCCTCTCTGGGGATGTACAGGAAGTTACAGGCCACATAAATGGGGAAGACCACATCCTGGTTCTCCAGGCTCATTACCTCCAGTTCTTCATCTCTTCCCAGGGAAAGCACCTGGTATTCTGTGCTCTTCCTGAAGGTGGCTTTTCCAGTGGTGTCCAAGGAAACCACACACAGGCGGAAAGCGACCTTTCTCTGCCACAGGAAGCTGACCCCGAGGCCATGGGGCTTGTTCTTGGCGCTGCGCTTGAAGATGATGCGCCGGTTGGTGTAGCACACCACCAGGTCCCAGCCAAAGTTGAAGCCGACCCACCGCCAGCTGCACCGCACTTCCTTAGAGAGATGGTGCCCACACCGCATGCTGTTCCCGGGTAAGTTGGGCACAGAGATGTCAGTGGGCCCAACCCCCTTGCTTTGCTCGGCCTTGACCAGAGCAAGCCACTGCTCTTTGTATACCGGGGTTAGCCATGCGGCCGGGATCAGCGCATCCTGGTCAATGATGCGTGCTGACTGCAGGTCACAGATGATGTAGGCCAGGCGCAGATGCTGGAACACTGGCACGAAGGCTCTGCCCTCCTGGGTTTCCAGGAAAGGGATGCCTCCTGACTCCCTATTGGACCTGGCAAGCCACAGGTTGGCATCGGGCAATAAGGCTCTGCGGGAGCCGCTCCATTCCGGCTGCAGCTGTAAGTACATCCACTTTTTCAGCATGGCATACACATCCATCTCCACTTCCATCACTAAGAGCTCTGAAGAGGCAATGAGCTCTTTCATGATATCTGGGCTGAGTTGTCGCAGTAATACCTCATCACTGCGATGAGTCATCAGATTGTCCAGCAGCCACTGGAGGCATATGGTCCTGATGTTTGGGAGGCCATAGCTCTCAGCAGACTGGTAGTAACTGCATACGGTGTAGACAGTGACAGTCTCCTTCATGACCTCCCCACACTGGCAAATCAGCTTGTCCAGCTGCAGCATGCTGGCTGTGGCCAGGATGGACACTACATGTCTGGTTGGAATGTACACAGGGCTTTGGTACAGGGAACCTAAAGCCTCGTGCAGGGCGTTAAGATCAATGTTCTCGTCAGGCATCTGCAAGTCTATGGTATTCATGGTTGCTTCCCTCCATGCACCACTGAACATGCTTGCGAAGTAGCCCGATTGGCACAAGTAGGCCTTGTGCAAGTTCCATACCTCTCCTAGTGCACAGATCTGCACATCGCTGCCTTCCCCTCTGAGAAAGAGTTTCTCATAAACGGAACCTGAAATACCTCTGGCGCGCTTCCGGAGGCGCCCGGCGGGAGGCCCTCCTGAGTCCGTCTTCCGTTTGAATCCGCCCTGACTGGTGGAGGGTCCGGCCTCTTCACTGTCTTCCTCCACCTCGTCAACCGCTGCTGCATCTGCCCCAGCCACCTCCTCCCCACCGGCCTCTGGCTGTTCTGGGCCATGTCTTCCCCGGCGCCGCCATGGCATCCGACTGCTTATTATTCCCATGGCCTGTAGATACCACCAAAGTCCGCACCACAGACACGCCCCCCGATCACTGCGAAGCTTCCCCAGACAGTGACTCAGCCCAGAAGGCTTCTGGGTACAACGGACTTCAGTCAGCCTTCCGGCCCCTTAGAGCTGTCCCGCCCCTTAGGAATCCACGCGAGAGTTCACGGGACCAGGAAGACCATGCTGCACGCATGTCCTCCTGGGGCTACGACTCTGGCTCCCCCTTCATGTGTTGGTGGTTGTATGTCAGCCCTCTGGGTGTATTTCCGTGTCATTTCAAGAACACAACTCCCGTTGGCCCACCTAAATTTTTGCGTGAACATTTGGGAGGCATTGTATCTTTTTCCTTCACGGAAACACAAGCTTCATTTATTCAGGGAATATCGATGGAACATCCAGTGTGAGCCCAGGTTTGTGCCGGGCACTGGGAGTGTGAAGACAAGCACAGCTTAGTCAGGCTTACAATGAACCGAGTTCACGTAACAATGACTACAGTACCCGTGAAAATTTGGGTAAACCTGGGAGCATGGAGGAAGGATGTCAGGACCGTGTCCTTGAGAGGCACTGGCTAAGTCTTACGGGCGATCGTTAGGCAGCTGAAGCAGAAGACTGACCTTCACTCTGTGACTTTAAGATAAACCTAAACCTCTTTCAGGCTCAGTTTCCCCAACAGCAAGGAACTAAAAGGCTTCAAAGTCAGTCAAAATGCAAAGTTCCTCCCCGGAATGACATCTAGATGCCAGCTTTGTCCTCCAGGCACCAGGCATCGAACTTCGCTCATTAACTTCTAAGGCATTGGTCTACGATAAAGGTGGTAACATCTTCCCCAGGCTTGCTTCGCTCTCGCACTTCTCTTTGTAAATTGTGTTTCTGGTTATAAAACCATTTTAAACTCTGTATGCCTGTGTGTGGTGGGGTGGGGTGGCTTGTCTCCAAATCCACCGCTTTGGGGCTCATGCCTCTGTTTTTAATAGATTACTTGAGTTTAGAGAAGATCATAAGTTTCCAGAACACCTTTCATCCTCATTTATGTTCCTCCCTCTCCACCTATTTGGACATCTTGAGTCCTCTGCCTCTGGTAATTTTTGTTTCTTGCAAACAACTACCCATTTCTCAATGTCTGAGATATGGTTCAAAGACCACTTTTTCTCAGACCTCCAAGGAATGGAGACATACATCTTTCCTCAACTGTAATCCTGTTATGCCTTGATCAAACATTTATCCCCATATGGCTACAGGACTCAAGATTACCAGCACCAGGCACCAGGCAAATTTAATAAATTTACAAGCAGGGGATGAAGACTGAATGAAATGGTTTTTCATTTTTGAGGAATGAGGAATATTAAATTCTGCACGGGTACTAAGTGCTCTAAACAAATTTGTGTTGCTGAGGGAGTATGGCCCTTTTAATGCCGAGGCAAGTGCATTATGAGGGAAAATACAAACATCTTCTGAAGTAGTGGTATGATTTATTTAAGAGACACAAGTTCAAGAAATGTTATTTTAATTACCAACACCCCCCTAAACCTCTAAAATACCACAACTGACACAGGGGAGCCTTTCAGGTCATTTGACACTGCCTGAATAGAATGTTTCCCAAATTTGTACATTGCAGTATAACATTATATTTCATTTTAAATATTCTGTATGGGACTCGACAGAGGGGATGATTAAGAAGGTCTAAGTAAAGTCTGCTATAGGAAAATATGTTGAGAGTGTACAAAAGAGAGGGAAATACATAGTTAAGGCCCCAAGCCTCCAAGATTCGTCGGCACCTATAAAAGAAAGGGCCATTCCCCAGAGGCTCTGGGATGGAGACAAGGTGGGATTCCTTGACTGTGCTGCGTGTGGATGAGTGATGAAGGAAGCGCTGCTTACTCAGAAGGAGATGGCTCTGAGCCACACACCCAGGGAGAACACTGAGATGAAGCAGAGTTGACAAATAATAACCACATTAATTTAAAAACAATTGCAGTTGCTATAAAATTAAATACGAAAAATCAGCTTTCTGTTTTGCAAACGGGAAAGGTGTTTCTAATCAATCTCAGTTGTCTCACTCAGTTCCTAATGAAACCAGAAAAGACACTAGAGCTCCTGGTGCCTGTCACTTTCCAAACCCAATAAACACAGAGACTGAATCTTTATGGATGCTTTATTCAGATGGTCAGGTTCATACCCTAAAACAAACTGTCTTACATTTTCTTTCCAGGCCAATGTTTTTATAACAGGGAATAAACAAGGTGCAGTGAAGGGGTTTGAAATTTAGGGAGAATTAGTTGAAAGAAACTGCAGCATTCTTGTCCTGGGCAGTCAGCTGTTCCCAGGAGCCAGTGGTCCTCTGCCTCCCTGGAACACAAGGCCTGGATGCCTCCACATGTCCTCAGGCAATATCTTTAGTGGTGCCCCAGGAGGTTGGCTATTTCTCTCAGGAGCCAAGATGGGCCTTATCAGTAGTTTCTGTAACAAAAGCTTTAACATATACATTACTTATTAAGCTTATAACTATTTACCTTAAACTAAAATTTTCCAACTCTCGAGTCCCCTATCATTAAGAGACATTTTTTTCCAGTATGGGAAGGCCAAAGGAATTAACAAAGAGTGATATGTGAGGATTCAGTCAGAGAAATGTGATTAAAGTCCCGGGAAGCTGTTCTAGGATGACTTTCACAGGAATTCAATAGACGTGCGAGGTACCAGAATTCCATGCTCCTACCATCCAGCTGAGTTGTCACTAAGTGCGCAGACCACTTGCAGCTACTACTGCTGCTCTGTAGGAGACCTATAACCTCAGTAGCATCAGGGTCGTGTGCCTGCACAGGCTGCTGGACAACCTGATGACCCCGTGTAGTGAGGAGCTAGAGCAAGAAGTGTGGCAGTATACACAGGAATGATATAGAGCTTATGGTCTGGGCAACAACTTTTTTCAACTGAAACTACTGGGGTCACATGGTTCACAAAGCCATACAAGGTTTTAAGTGTACCACTCAATAAAACATCATCTGCACACTGCATTGTGCGCACATCTCTGCAAGCAAAGTCTCTTTCTGTCCCCATTCCCCTGCTTCTTGCCCATCTCCACCTAACCTCCACCCGCTTTTCCTCTGCTTATTACCAGCCTGTTGTCTGTCTTCCTGTTACATATACAGGGTCCAGCACAAATAACACCTGTTTTTATTACAAAATCCTAAGCATGCTAATTCTGTAATATAACAATATCACAAGCACTCCATATGACATTTTAGGTAAAATCATCAAATTAAAACTATAAATTATTATACACATATTATTACCCTACTAACCACACTCAATCACCCATTATTTATGGTGGACTTTGTATATATACCTGTGTGTGTGTGTGTATATATATATATATTTTAATCCCTTCACCGTCTTTCATCCAGTTCCCCAATGTCCCTTCTATCTGACAGCTGTCAGTCTTTTCCATGCTTCTATACCTGTATTTCTGTTTTGTTTATCATTATTTTGTTCACTAGGTTCCACATATAAGTGAGGTCATATATTTGTTTTTCTCTCACTGGCTTATTTTACTTAGCATAATAATCTCCAGGTCCATCCATGCTGTCACAAAAGGTAACATTTCCTTTTTTATGACCAAATAGTATTCCACTGTGTAAATATACCATAGACAAGCAGGAATATGCTATAAGGCAAGGCACTTATTTAAAACTGAAGGAATGTTAAAGAAACTTTTCTAAGGAGTAGAAAGAAAAATAAAAAGAGGAACAGAAGTATGTATAATAAAATGGCAATAAATATGTACCTACCAATAGTCACTTCAAATGTGAATGGATTAAATACACCCTTAAAGACACAGTGCAGCTGAGTGGATAAGAAAACACTACCCATATATATTCTGTCTTTGAGAGAACTACTTCAAATTGAAAGACACACACAGACTGAAAGAAAAGGGGTGGAAGAAGAACATGGAGAAAAAGCTGAAGTAGCAATACTCATATCTGACAACGTAGACTTTAAAGCAAAGGCAGTAATAGTGGACACAGAAGGACATGACATAGCAATGAAGGGATGAATGAAACTAGATAATATAACCCTTATAAACACCAGTGCACCCAACATAGGAACCCCAAAATATATAAAGCGAATCTTGATAAACATAAAGGTAGAGACTGACAGTAATACAGTCATAGTAGGGGGCTTTCCCACTCCATTGACATCGATGGATGGATATTCCAGAGTCAAAACCTTTCCCCACCAAAGAAAAATCTAGGCATCTTTAAATGACACACTAGACCAGATTAATTTAATGAATATTTGAAGAACATTTCACACCAAAGAAGCAGACTATACATTTTTTTCAAGGAATGGAACAAAGTCCAGGATAGAACATATGTTATGCCACAAGAAATGTGTCTCAATACATTTGAGAAAAACTGAACTTATATCACACACCTTCTCTGACCACAATGGCATGAAACTAGAAATCAATTACAAGAAAAAAATGAAGAACACACAAAGAGACGGAGATGAAATAGCATGTTACTAAATGTTGGATGGGTTAATGATGAGATAAAAAGGAAAATACATACATTTTACAGCGTGATCATTTGCAAAACTAAAAATTTACAATTAGTCCAGGCTGATGTGGCTCAGTGGATTGAGTGCCAGCCTGCGAACCAAAGGGTTGTCAGTTCGATTCCTGGTCAGGGCACGTGCTTGGGTTGTGGGCCAAGTTTCCAATGGGGAGCATGTGAGAGGCAACCACACATTGATATTCCTCTCTCTCTTACTCCCTCCTTCCTCTCTAAAAATATGTAAGTACATAAAACCTTTAAAAAATTAGAATGAAAAATCTGTACTGCACACCCATAGAACACTACACCCTTATGTGCCTATCAGAATGGCTGAAGTTAAAATGTCACTTTTATCAAGTGCTGGCAAAGATGTGGAGGAACTAGAACTTGAATATACTTCGGGGGCAGGGAGATACAGAATGGTACAGCTACATTGGAAAAGTG